CCCCCCCCACTGCCCACCCCTGAATGCCAGGCTCACCCAGTGAGCTACACATTAGGATAACATGAAGGAAGACCCTCCTCCTCCTCCTCCCATCTCTATTTTCCTCCAGTGTCCTGTCTTTGCCCCTCATCCCTCTCTCCCAGGACTGGAGCCAATAACAGTGTTGGGGTCACCTATGTTAATTGCTATGCTAGAGCAACTGGGAAAAAACACACACACAGCACACACGAGCAGTTCACACACAGTCGGTGAGTAAGCATGTGTCACTGAAGCGGCGTGTGAGAAATAATAGTTTCAAAAACAAGGGAAATGGAGAGAGTGAAGAAATGTCATGAAGAAGGATGCCTGGCGTGTGAAGGAGAAGGTGAGGGAGGGAGAAGGTGGGAAAGGAAGCCGACCCAGAGTTCAGATGAGAAATGACCGAAATGCCGAGGAAATTTCGCTTAGCTCGATGTAATCCATTCACAATTCTACGGCAAGACTGTGGTCCACTCGACTAACCGTATCTCAGGAGTGACTGAGGACACGAGCACAATTTCAACAATGTGTGCGAAGGGGGGTGACGCGGCTTCCCCTTCATTTGAATGAACAAATGCAATGCAGAATTCTCAGCAGCCTGCACTTTCAGCGCGGACCGCAGCCATTAGTTCAATGGGGAATTAATGTCAGCTACCTACAGAAAGCAATGAGCGGGGCTTCGGCTCTGGCTCATGTTGAAGGATAATGTTGTACCACTAACAGTGTGAGCTTGATTTAGGGAAATCTTTGCAGTGGCACTGGGAGCATTTTGTCTCGGTGCACTGTGCAGGGTCTGTGCTCGCACCTTTGTTTTCTTGTTTTCTTCACCTTTGCCTGCTTTGCTCAGCTAATCTGAGCTGAAGAGGGGAGGAGAAAGAAAAGAAGGATGGATGAAAAGAGAAGAAAAGATGAAAGTGAATACAGCATCCATCCCTCCTTGTTCTCCTCCTCTCTGCCCATCCTGTCTGTCTGTCTGTCTGCCCTGCACACAGCGTCTATTTATGGAAAGCAATGTCACTCACGCAACACCATCAGATAGCTCTCTCCCTGGCCTGCTCACTGCTCATACATCATTAACATTCTCTACCACCCCAGCATGTACATGTGCACACACACACACACACACACACACACACACACACACACACACACAGAACATGACACGCTGCCAATCAAACAAGAAAAAACAGGCTGTACAGCCTCAAACTGTACGTATGGAAACATCAGGTATGCTATAGACAGAGAGTGAGAGGAAATTTGTGCAGCATGCTTACAGCACTGAGCATGTTTAATTATACTCACAAAGGATTAATAAAGTAAAGTATTATTCTTAAAGACGTATTGTAATTTTATTGCATTGCCTGGTCAGCCGACTCCTGTGTTTGATGTTTAACTCAGGAGAAAGTCTTTAAATGGCTGAGACGCTAGCAAGACTCTTACACATCACGGGGATTTACAAACAAAAATCTCAAAAATAAAACTTTAAAAATAAAATAACAATAAATGCATTAATAAACATCTTTGTTTATTCATTTAAGGAAAATTAATTAAATTTAAAAGAATATATATATATATCAACTAATGTGAGCACGAGACTGGGATCTGGTGACTGAATATTTTATAGTCAATATTCTGCTGACAGTTATTGATCTTACATGGTTAGCAGGACAACCCTTCTAGCTAGCATTAGCGATTGAAGGAGCTTTGTTATCTTTGGACAGAGAGGACTTTTTCCAAACTCTGACCAATAAAATTCAGCAGCCGGTCGGCAACTCCTTGGCAATCAATGGTCGCTAGGGAAAAGCGCTCGTTTACAGACCAGAGGGAAAGGGTTGCTCTCGGCTGCTGCGTTGAAAGCCACCAAAAACAACCTTGCGATTGCTTTGGTGCAGGTTTGCCAACCTACTTTTAAGTCTTTGCAGACAGCTCCTTTACGTGACCTACAGACTGCGTCGAAACTGTCAGTAAATGGAGCTGTGTTGGCTGAATGTTGTACTACTCCTTTAAAGGCTCCTCTCCACAAGAAGGTGTCCAGGGTTTCGCTAAATGACACAAACTTTTGCAGGGGATGAATGCCCTCTTCCTTCCGTAGGCGTTTCACCTGAATTGCTCGTCGTATAATGTGAAAAATCTCATATTTGCTGGTGACTTCTTTCTTACTCAAACCGTCTGCTGTAGAAAAGCTGCTTTAAGCCAATTCAGATTTCCTGTTCTCACCCTCAGCAATTCACAGCATATCTTTGGGGGTACAGTTACTTTAAAACCTCAATTTTGTAAATGTTACTAGTTTAATGTGTGTCACAGTGTCAAATAAGGCTCCTATATGTCCTCATTTGAATATGAGAGAGTGACAGAAACAGAGAAAAGAGTGCGAGTGACCTCGTCAGCCTTTGAGACAGCCCTCAGAGAACAGTGATGACAGGAGGAATTAGTGAAGCAACACAGACCAGAGAAAATAGCCTCCTCTTCACTCTGCTTTTTCCTCCCCTCCCAGCAAACCCAACACCTCCTTCACTTGCAAAGGCATTTTATATTCTGGAAAGAGCAGCAGACAGAGCACCAGGAGTTACCATCCCAGGCATATGGACATATGGGATGGACGCAGAGAGACAGAGAAGGGAACACATCTGGACAGGGATTAGGACAGCTAAAGAGGCTAAAAAAAGGAGGAGGAGACAGAGGGATAGGCTTAGCCATGGCTAAGGGAGGGGTGATGGTTGGAGGTGATTGTGGGGGTGGGTGAGGGATGAAGTCAGACGGAAGGTCATTTTTCTTACTTGAAAGAAGCCCGGGGGCATGGGTCCTCCTGGCATGCCATCATTGGGTGGCATGTTGCCCATCACTGGACTGGGAGCAGCGGCCGCGCTCTGAAAGAACAACCACAACAAAACCAAAATAAAAGCCTCTGCATTTCCCTTCAGCAGATTAACACACAGTCACGGGACAATCAGCGATCGGCAAGGTGTTAAAACAATCCTGTGTCTGCCGAAATTAATAGAAAGAGATACGCGCTGTTCGGAAACGATTTGCCATCAAACTTTTTTCCTTTTTTTCACCCTGATTGCGCTCTTTCTGGAGCAAATGGAGCAATTACAGATATCTCACGATATCTGACGGAGATATGATTGTCTGGGCGCTGTGATAAACCAATCGATGGACACAAAAACAAAATGCAAATATGGTAATTTAGTGGGAACATTAAGGAAGGAATTCTGTGGGTTTGGAGTAAACTAGTTTCCCCGTTGCGCTAGGAATGGACAGCACTTTTTTCCAATAACTGCTAAAGTTTAAAAAAACACAAAAAAAACAAAAACAGGGCATAAATGTGTCACTTGAATGCATCTATGACATGTATTGATTTTAGACTGTATTTAATCTTTTCTTTCACAGTAATAATGATGCTAAACATCAGGGAGAAGAGACAGATGTGGCGCTGCCTCAGTTGTGCCGACCATCAGCTCATCGTTGGCATGGCCAGGGCAATGCGAGGAGCAATTAAAAAAAAGTTGCAATGATTCTTGTGGAAGAAGAACTGAAAAGCTAAGACCGCACAGATACCCTGACATCTAACAAGCAGCCCGTCTTAATGTCTTCCAGACACGACCTAGATGTTGTTACTCCAAAGGCTGTGGAGGATGGATGGGTGTACCAAAATAGTCACTGTTGCTTTCTCTTAAAGATGAACACCCATAACCATGGGTCTTTTGATTAAACATAACCAATTAAAAGCCTCAATATCTGCTATTGAACATGGATGCAAATCCACATAATTTACAAATGCACATACACAGCACTCTCCTCCAGCCCTTCCCCCACTGTAACCAGAGCTCCACTCACTTCCCTCCGTGCCTCGCCTGACCTGCACAGTCCAGACACTAACTAGCACGCCCCGGGGCCACGAGGCAGGGCGCGCACAATCGTGCATGCAAAAACTGCAGCGGCAAGAGGGTGTGAATCTGTGGGGCTCTGAAAACAACCGTGACAGAGCACGGATGTGGCATCGACAGAAGTAAGGCAAGAGCCAAAACTGGAAAGAGAAAGGCAAAAAGGAGAGAGGGGAGACATTTAAACAGAAAAGGCTAGCAAACAATAGGAAGCGGGCCGAGAGAGGAAGAGCTGGAGAGCTCTCTCAGAGGGTGAGGAGAGGTCAGACATTGAAGAAGAGCTTAGTACAGATGCTTCTATATTACTCTCAGGTCTATGTGTGAACTGTCAGTTCTTTCCAGCCTCAACAGTAGACAAGCATGAAGAGGAAGAGGTCAAGAGGATCTTCCAAACCTTAAAATAAAGAATACAGCACACAGTTAAAAAAAAATGGACACTCACCCCTCTTATAATAAGTGCTAAGCATAATTTTTCTTCCTTCCACTGTGACCTGGTGGCCTGGGAAGCATGTGAACTCTCCCAATGTTTCTTTTAACGCATAAATGCCAAATAACTCAGGTCTTAAATGAGACTCAGTCTCACAGACATCTGCGACAGGGGGACAATGTCTTTGGCCCCAAAGACTTTGTGGTTGAGTGTATATCTGGAGTCTGTTTAGCCTTCATGTGAGAGGACAGAGAAAAGAAGACAAGAAAGCTGGGAGAAAGACCGGAGTAGATACGCAGTTAGCTTTAGTATTAGCTTTAACCCGGTGAACTACACCGATGTCCCACAGAAACAATCTCAAAATCATTGGCTACAGTCTGTAAACAGTTAATCAGTTTTTTAAAGTACATCTGTATTTGTAAACAGTGATTAGCAGATGGAACAGGAAGTCTTGTGTAGTTGTCCATTGTCCCCAGAGGCTACCACGATGTCCGCACAGGAAGCAACAAGCAGCAACTCGGCAACCAGAGACCAGAGCCATTCAGCAGCGACACAAACAGGTGCAAGTAGGGGGAAAACTATTAAACATAAAAACGTGAAATTCTCACTAGTCTTTTTGACCATCAGAGCAAATCAGGATGTATTGTTTAGGACAGATGCATAAAAAAAATGTCAGAGTATTGAGTAGTTAAAATATGTAAAGAAACAGTCCTGTATATGAGCACACACTATTGGTATGTAGCCGAATTTCACAATATTACTTTTTACCGTGAAGGACATGAGAGCCTCGAAGGTCCCCGACCATCACGTGTGGGCGGGGCTTTAGTCAGCAATCGCTTCCCAGGTTCAATGGGGCCCGACAGGTCAGGTCAGGTCAGGTAATGGGGTTGGCCTAAGCAACAGATTGGGTCCCATAGAAGCATGATTGTGGCAGATGATTTGTGTTGTTTCAGATCTCGAGCCTGTGTGTGTTTGCGTATGAGAGGGTTTGAATGGATCCATTATTAGGTCTGATTATGATAATAATCACTGGAGGATTTAAAAAAAAAAAGTGTTTTCTGAATCAAGATGGAGTGTGTGAACTGCGAAAAGAAGTCGCTGCTTGTTACTTGGTTTTGGTGAGGGACTCTTTGGTGCATAATTTGGGCTTCTGTACTTCTAGGAGCCATATTGATGGAGCAACTGAAAAATAAAAATAAGGGCGCGAGACTGTAAAGTGTGCAGTGGTGCGCTTTTTTCTCCTGTTGAACAATGGGCAGCAAGAACAATGGGCTGAATACTGTACATATTGACATACATGCGTCCACACCAACACAAACACACGTGCGCACGGTTAACCAACTGCGGTTTGTCTCAGCGCTTTAACGGCCGTGCGGAGGGAGGGAGGGAGAAAATAGGAAGATGAAATAAGAATGAGAAAAAGGAAAAGAGAAGATAGCTCGATAGACAGCAGGACATCTTAGAGGGAGGAGGAAGAGTGAATGGAAGTGGTGCTGGCATGTAAGTACGTGTGACGAGTGTGTGTTTGTGTGTGTGTGTGGCGAGTGAGTGTGTGCGTACGCGCGAGCCTGCCTGCCTCAGCCAGCCAACGAGGCTCCACAGTACTCAGGTGAAGCAGCAGCAAAAGGCCCCTTCTCCTAGTTGCCATGACAACCCCGACCTCAGCTCCTGCTCTCCAGTGCCCATTAAAACCCTCAGGCCGTCAATCATCAGCATGGCCAGGGAGCAGAGAGAGGGAGAGAGGGAGAAAGCGATAGGTGGAGGGAGAGAAAAGCAAAAAGAAAGAGAGAGAAGAGAAAGAGGAGGAAAAGATAGAAAAAGAAACAGACGTGGAGTTTAAAGCAGCCTGTGGCTTTTGATAGCTGCTGCCCTTTTTGCCACAGCTATCTCTCTCCTTTTCTTCCCTCCGCACAAACAAACCCGATACACAAAACCTCCACAGTGCTAACTCCTCACTACCGTCGCTCTCCTTCAGCTCTCTTTCCATCCCCACCGAGCCAGCCAATAATCAGCGCCGCATTTCTACGACACGTATTAGGCCCATTGTGGGCTGAAAAAAATTACAAAGCCGCGAGAGGGTAATATTCAGAGAGAATACAGTCACGAAAAAGCTCAGCTGTTCTCTGAGATTAAAGTGGAGCATCTAGGCGAAACAAAGCCTCGCAAAGTTCCAAGACAAAATATTTTCGGAGATTATAAAACGATAACTTCATCACAAATACCCGCCGATGTCATACGCACAAGAGCGATGCTGATGTAAGCGGCGATGCTGTTGCATTAGTCCATTGTGTTGAAGTTGCTGATGCACAAAAGCCATCACCTCGTCCAAATCAGCACGCGCTTTTTCATGAATAGGCCAAATTCACTGCAATCGTTCTTCCGGGCTACAATCAAAAAATTTGACTGCGAATTTGGTCATTATTTCAAAAAAATGAGCCAAGAATCCAGCTCTTCGACTGAAACAGCGACTCTCCGCAGAAACGTTTACGACCAGTGACGCCTGCAATACGCCACTTTTATAACATTACTTCGTGATCCCGTCTTTCCCAAACACAAGGTTTTCTCTTGGTTCACTTGTAACTAATGAACTTACACGATTGATATGCGACATCTTCATTTCTTAACCCTGCATCCATCCATGCCGCCTCCATGTTTTGCAAATGAGCTAAACGAGTTAAGGATATTCTCTCGTCTCTGCTGATGCGTGACGAGATTCACAGCATCTGAAGTCTTTTTGTGTCTGTGAGGTGCATCTGTTTAACGCTGTAGTTTCACTTGTTGGAAAGACTCTTTCCAAAAGTTAGACGAATAGATTGATATCACTGTCATATCTTTTCTGGTAAATAAGCTAAAGCCAGAAGCCAGCAAGTTCAGCAAACACTGGAGAACAGCACACGAGGCTCTGCTGGAAGAGGAGCATAAATCTTTCCGTGTAACTCTTCAAGCAAGAAAACAAAGGAGCGCATTTCTCAAGCTGTAATCCTCTTTAGCCAGAAGAGGAGTTCCAAAGGCAGACTTATCTTGTCATTCCATAATAACACAGACTGCACTGTGCTTGAGACAAAGGCTAAATAACGAATAAACTTCATATTTCAGTTTGTTCTCTTAGCGTTTATTAATTGAGACGACTCGAATCTCTCCAACGAGCGATAAGACGACCAGCAGCTGCCATTTTGAGGTGTCCCGTGATGTGACATAACCACGGCAATCTTTACCATCGCCGCCTTGCACGAGATGTGAGAGAGGCATTATCGGAGGACGTGCATTTGACAATTTCCTCTAACAGAAGGGGGTCTGCCCTCCTTTGGCCCCTTGTTGTGATCCTCTTTAGTGCCACGGTGGAGGCTGGCTAACCGGCTAGGTCCACAGACAGTGAGTGAGCGGCTCTATCTGCCCAGTGATCAGACCTCAGCTTCCAGGGGGTAATGGATCTGCCGTTATCTGGGTCCAGACAAGCAGGCCAACACACTGCTACCTGCTGGCCACAACAACACTGATACTGACCTGTTAGTATCTGTGTGAGTGTGTCTGAATATCTGTGTGGAAGCCTGTGTTT